TAGGGAGGGGAAGTGAGTGAGGAATGTTTCGAAAACCAAGGTGAGGATTTTAAAATGGCGACGTGGCCGGACCCTTGACCAGTTTGTCATGTGCAGTGGAGTTAGTGACGGATGAATGAGTGAAAGGGATTCTATGTGCGTTAGGGTATCAAAAATTTTGGGGCAGGGGTTAGTTTTGTGTGACTTTGCTGAAGGCTGGGACGCCAGTCAGCAGCACGTTGGGGTTTTAAACATTCGAGGAGGCGTTACTTTTTCAACAAGAAGACCTTCAGCCGGTCTATCTTTGAATGCTGAGATAACAAGGTGTAGAGCTGGATGAACACAGCAGGCCAAGCAGCATCATAGGAGCAGGAAAGCTGATGTTTCAGGCCTAGACCCTTCATCAGAAAACGTCTGCTTTCCTGCTCCTCTGCTGCTTGACCTGCTGTGTTTATCCAGCTCTACACCTTGTTATCTCAGATCTTCCAGCATCTGCAGTTCCTACTATCTCTGATACAATTTTTGAATGCTGCCCACTCTGTCAGGTCCCCTGCTGTGTTTGGATTTGTTCAACGTCTGAGTGCAGCCTGACCCTCATCCGCACGTGTCTGTGTCTCTCTGCCCCTCTCTCTCTCTCTGTCTCAGCACCTCATCACCAAGGCCATGAAGAGCCCTCACGATCCCTACCTGGAGCTGGATGATACTTTCTGGCCGCCCTTCGTCGAAGCCCTGCTGCGTTACGGGGTGGTCCTGCGACACCCTGACGACCCCCACCGAATCCGCCTGGAGGAGTTCGACCAGTAGCTGGTGACGGGGCCTGGGAGCATGCTTCGGGCCAAATCTTGAGCCCCCTCACCCCTCCCAACAGCCATCGGCGCTGGACCGATCTCGCCATCTCCCAGCCGTGCTCCTCTCCTCCTGCCTGGACACCATGGGTGGGAGCCCATTCCCCTCACCTTGTGTATCTCCGCCGATGCTGGACAGTTCGAGTGTGTATGTCATCTGGTACTTCCTCTGCTCCCTGGGAGTCCCTAACGTGAGCTGCTTTGTCCGGTAGTTCTTCCATCTATGTCTGCGGGCGACGTGTGGACCATATTGTTACAGAATGGGTAAGCAGCAGAAGTAGATGCGCAAATCTCCCCTCACCTCCCAGGATCCGTGTCCCTTTGCTTATGAGTGAGGCAAGAGCGAAACCCTTCACCAATGGAGACGGAGGGGATACTGAGCTCTGCACTGTTGCACAGTGGAAGGGTAGGCAGTGGAAGACTTGCTGCCGGACGTTCCTTGCTCCCAGACCCTGTTGTTCTGTGCTGCGGAATGTTCTGAGAGGCAGTTGTGCAGACAGCGACACCGATTCACACCCCCACGGTGTGCCACGTCCTGATGACTCTCTACTGTGACCTTGCAAAATTCCTTCTGATGTATTGTTCATTAAAGTTCTTGTAACATGACTTTGCCTCCTGCTTTCCACTTCTTGATTTCTGAAAGGCCGGCAGACTTTTGTACCGGCTGAGTTGGGAGGTGTCACTGAATCTGAGGAATTTACAGATTAAACACTGTCCTCATCGAACACTTCCAGGGTTAGCACAGGGATAGAAACAGAAGAGAGTTGGAGCCTCGGCGAGTTGTTGCACTATATCTTGTAGACAGTTCACACTGCCGCCACTGTGCATCAGGGGTGGAGGGAGCGAATGATGCAGATAGGGGTAAGCATGTCAGTCAAGTGGGGGAACGGGTGCTTTTTCCACACTAATATTTATTCTTCAACCTGAACCAATTCAAAACTGTTGATGCTGGTCAATGTGACATTGCTTTTTGAGCAAGCTTGCTGTGCGCAAATTGTTTGTTTGTTTGCTATTTTTGAGTGGTGACTGCATCCCGTGAAGTTATTAAAAACCAACTAGCTGAGGCAATCCTTTGAATTTCCTGAAGCTGATAAGCTGGTAAACTGATAGTGTCCTCATCAAACTGTCTCGGACATTCAGCCCTCGCTCTACCAGAGTGGTTGCAGCAGTAGAGTGGAGACAAAACACACAGTTAACATTTCAAGTCCAGTGACCCTGGTGGTACTGATGGTAGCTAGGGAAAGTGGTCTGTATCCTGGGGGACTGTGGAGAGGAGGGATAGGTGGATCCTGAAGGCTGCAAAGTCTCCAAATGAGATGCTGTTCTTCCAGCTTGTTTTTTTCTCCCTTCTAGCTGCTATCAGTTCTGAAGAAGGATTACTGGACTTGAAATGTTAATTCTGGTTTTGCTCCATGGACACTGCCAAGCTTTGAGTTTTTCCAGCAATTTCTATTTTTCTTTCAGATCATCAGCATCCACAGTTTTGTTCTGTTCTATGAAACCCACAATATCAGGTTGTGTTTGCACAACGGGGTTGGCGTGGGGAACATTGTCGAAACCATCCCATATAGGCTTTTGCAAAACCCTGCTCCAGGGTAGCTGAATTGTTTTGGAATGGAGAAAGTCAATTTGACCCATTGACCCTGTGCCAGGTCTTCAAATTAGCAGCTCCACCCCATGCCTCCCATGCACCTTCTCCCACTGTAACCCTGCACACTCACCTTCAAATAATGTCCAAATCCCCCTCAAAATCCTCGATTAAAGCTACCTCCATCTCTCTCAGATAATGCATTCCAGAGCCTGACCCAGCTCGCTGCATGAAAGTGTTTCTTCCTGTGTCTCCCTTTTGGCTAATTGCCATCAATCTGTGTCCCTTTGATGCTCAATCCTTCCAACAACAAGAATGGTTTTTCTTCCTCTGTTCCGGCTGTGACCCCTCCCGCTTTCTGAGAGAGAATCTCTGTCTTTCTCTTGAACTTTGAGGCACTTCACCTGATGAACGAGCAGTGCTCTGAAAGCTTGTGATTTCAAATAAACCTGTTGGACTATAACCTGGTTTCATGAGACCTCTGACTTTGTCCACCCCAGTCCAACACTGGCACCTCCACATCGTGGCTTCTCTGAGGAGAACAGTCCCAGCTTTTCCAGAAGCTGTTCACTTTGCTCAAATCGGTCATACCTGGAACCTTTCTTGGGGATCTTTCTATTGCCCAGTTTATGTTCCAGAAAACAACTGTACTCCTTGCACTGCAGGCAGTCTTTGCTAAAACATTCAAGCCTAACTATGTTCTTTTATCATCAGCTTAGAGTATGTCTAAAAGGGGAGAGGCATTGTTGTCCAGTTGGCCAGTGTTGCACCTGCACTCTTATCATTGGAGTGGGTGGGAGGACAGAGTGCAAATCACAGAATGCTAATAGCCATGATGCAGGAGGAGCCATTCAGCCCATTGTAGTCAGTTCTGTCACCAAGTGCCAAGTTCCTGCCTTTTCCCCATTCCTCTGCACACTGTTACTACCCAACGAAAGATCCAATGATCTCCTCAATTGAACTTGCCTCCACCACATTTGCAGGCAGCATTCCATACCCTAACTATTCATTTGGTGAGTTTTTCTTGTTTCATTTGCACATCGCTTTAAATCTACACCCTCTCATTCTTGTCTCTTTTATGAGTGGGCACAGCTTCTCCCTATCTACTCTGTCCAGCAAACCCCCTGGAACCACTGCGCTCAGGAACAGAGACGGTGCCCACCTCTTCTACCTATCCCTTCATTCTTGTCTGTATATTCTGACTTTGAAGACAAGTGGTGATGTGCAAACGTGTATTAGGGTGGATAGAGTGGGGGGGGGAAGAACTGCACAGCTTGAATGGGAATTTGTCTCGAATTACGTCCGCCCCAACTTGGTGACAGTTCAAAGTGAATTAATGGCTAATTCTCTGTCCATCATGAGCTCCCACATCATGTTGCTTGTGAATATTCTGTTGTAATTCAGGGAGGTGTGGGTGAGGATTGTTAATTGTCAGCTGTTATTTCAGAGCACTTTGTCTCTGCTGAATTGCGTGTTTTGGATGTGAATGACGTTGCTGAGGAAAAAGATAATCCACCTGGATACTGGGGAGGTGAACCTGCTAATGGCCCACTTCTGCCTTTCCTCAGCGCTGACCCTCTGACAGTGCAGCGCTCCCTCGGCGCTGACCCTCTCTCAATGCCTGCTCCCTCAGCACTGACCTCTAATAACAATGCTACACCACCTTTCCTTCCTTCCTGTCTTTCAAAAAGTCAAACATCCCTGAATGTTAAGCTCCCAGTTCTGATCTCCTTGTAGCCATGTCTCCGTAATGGCGGGGGAATTATATTAATTTATCTTGAATGTGCTGACAGTTTGTCTACCTTATTCAAATGCTTCATATATTAAGATACAATACCTTTAGGCTTTGTCTCTTTGCAATTTTTAGTCATCCTAATGTTTCTTTGGCCCTATTTGCCTGTTGCCATTGACAGTTCTGAGGAAGGGTCACTCGACCCGAAGTGTTAACTCTGATTTCTCTCTACAGATGCTGCCAGACCTGCTGAGGTTCTCCAGCAATTTCTGTTTTGAACATAGAGCAGTGTAGCACAGTATAGGCCCTTAGGCCCATGATGTTGTGCCGACCTATTATCGGTTCGCCATTGATTATCCTTGTCTATGTTTTTTTTTGCATTTTACTGTATTAATTGCTTTCCTTTCTCCTCTTTCCCTTCTCATTCCGCTTAGGTTCCCACACCCCTGCTATTCTAGTTTAAACCTGCCCTATTTCCTCTGCTCCCTTTAGCCCCAACAACCATATCTAGCTCCTTGAAAGCATTCGGCCTCAAGTGCTCTCTGTGGCAGAGAGTTCCATTGGCTCAGTACTCTGAGCAAAGACTCATCTCATCTCAGTCCTCAATGTCCTGCCCTGTTATCCTTAGACTGTGACTCACTGGCTCTCCTTGCTTATGCAGTCACTGTTTCTATTCATCCTCCTCCATCTCGTTCATTTAATTCCTGTTTCCTTCTTTCTAACTGTCTCTCTCCACTTCTCTGCCTCCTGCCCCCCGTCCTCTTGTCTCTTCTGCCCTCTTTTCTCTCCTCTGTATGCCTCTGTCTCTCTCCCCTCTTCACTTTACCCTGTCTCCTCATTCTCTCTCCTCCCCTGTTCTCTCAATCTCCTCCCCCTCTCTCCTCTTTATTGCTCTCCTCCTGTCCTATCTTCCTCTCTCCTTTGCTCTGTCTCCTCTCTACCCCTCTCTGTCATCTTCCTCTCTCCTCCCCTCTTGTCCTCTCTCTCTCTCTCCTCCCCCTCTCTCCTCTCAGCCCCTCTACCCCTCGGGCTCTGTGCTGTCTGATCAAGTTGTCATATGGGTATTTCTGCTGTGCTGTTTGAGCTGATCTGTGTGTATGAAGCCACTGATATTGCATGTTTCATTGCTGTGAATACCAGTGGGATGGAGAATCAGCTTGACATCCCTGGACATCAGCGAATAATGCAAGGTGCTTGCGGGTTTTAAGTGGCATCATCTCTCTTAATTCTCTGTTCCAGATGTGGATGTGTGTATTACAGGCACATCCAGAATTGATCATCTGTCCAAAATTGCCCTTCGAGAAGGTGGTGGTAAGCCACCTTCTTGAAACCCTGCAGACCCGTGTGGTGTAGGGACAGTGCCGCAGGGGAGGAGTTCCAGGATTCTGACCTGTGACACTGAAGGTACTGCTGTAATAACAGAGAGGACTCCTTACAGCCTCTCCAGTGCCTTTCTTCATCAGGGGGCGGCACAGTGGTTAGCACTGCTGCCTCACAGCCCCAGGGACCCGGGTTCGATTCTCAGCCTCGGGCGACCGTCTGTGTGGAGTTTGCCCATTCTCCCCGTGTCTGCGTGGGTTTCCTCTGGGTACTCCAGTTTCCTCCCACAGTCCAAAGATGTGCATTAGGTGGATTGGCCATGCTAAATTGCCCAGAGGGATGTGTAGATTAGGTGGGTTATAGGGGGATGGGTCTGGGTGGGATGCTGTGAGGTTTTGTGTGGACTTGTTGCGCCGAAGGGCCTGTTTCCACACTGTAGGGAATCTATGATTAGGTCGAATAGCAGATCCTCCACAGTGATTCAACTCAAACTAGCTCTGTTCCATGTTCGTCACCCTTAAACAGCAGACATCTCATGAAGGTTACAACTGACCTTCCTCACTTTGAGGAGGGGTCTCTGGCTTCCAATTCTCTGAGCACAATGGTATTTTTTTCAATCTTCTGTTGAATGACCTGGCTGTCATTTAGTGAGGATGTTCCCTGCTCCTGCCCTCGTCCTACCAGATATGTGGGCTGTGTCTGTGACGGGGCGGGGGTCCGTGTCTGTGATTCCCACACACGGTGACGGGACGGGGGTCTGTGTCTGTGATTTCCCCCGCACGGAGACAGGGCGGGGTCTGTGTCTGTGATTCCCGCACACGGTGACGGGACGGG